GGGGAGTCACGGGCACCCTGTGATCCCCCCTGGATACGCCTCTGTGCACGTTCAGTATTTGCAAGCTTCATATTTTGCACTTCTCCTTCCCACAGTCCRCTGAAGTCAGGTTATGATGGAGTCATCATCTGGGTGGTGACGATGATGGTGACAACTTTAAAAAAATGCAAATATACATTATTCAAATCATTATATATATTATATCCAGGTTATGGCAGGATAATATTGGCCTTTATGTCATTCTAYTATATGCCATTTGATCCTACTAAAGCAGTTGTGACTTACCTGACCAATGTGTTACTCGATGAATTTGATGGACATGCAGCAAGATACTTCAATCAATGTAAGGTCTACTGATGACTGTAAATAGTAATCAGCCTTAAATAAAGAAAATAATTTACTGTGGTCAAAAATATTCTCATGCTAAGCTGTCAATTCAACAAGAAGGCTAGAATCTCTATTAATAAGTGCTTTCTGCTGCTCATAAACTGATCATTCATTATTCATTGTATATTTCTTAAATGCGCATCCCTATAAATGCATTCAAGACCCTATATGTGCGATTTCGCACATCAAAAGTTCTCCATCTTGGGTTTTAAACCAATAAGAATGCACCTTTCAAAAAGAGATCATTTGTTTTAAACAAATTGTGTTTCTACGTTATATTCGCAGGCACAAAATTTGGTGGACTGCTTGACATGTTAACAGACAGGTAAAATAGCAACTTTTATGCCCTCAGTYAATGTAGTTTCAGAAGAAAGGATTAAGCTAGAGGGAGGGGTAGCCTGAGATGTAGTCCTAGACACGAAATGTAATGGCATCCATATAAGTACATGTGCATAGTTGGTCCTACCCCGGTACGTGCCGCCAGCGGCCTAAAACCCCGTTTAAGACACTATAAAGTGAAAATCCATATCCTGTTCAAGACTGATTGAGAAATGAAAAGAAGTTCATCCTTTTGCCTTGTTTAGATGTGTTACCACAGCTTTACTGATGATGCTGTCAGTGTTCTATCCTTCMTATCTCTTTCTCTTTCAATTCCTGGTCTGTTTGGATATTAGCAGCCATTGGATACACGTCCAGTCGTAAGTAAACGAACTAGTTCTACSCATTGGAATCATAATAACATGTAATAACATCATGAATTTTTTTTATACAATGCTAATTGTACTTATAAAAACCGAAGTAAAAAAAGCGAAAGATGTTGGACTAAGACAATGCCTGTCAACTAGTTAATGTAATGTTTTCAAGCTGGGAAAAATGATGTGTTATATGCAATRAAATAAAAGCTCTTCTGAAAAATGAACAAGTTGGGATCAATTGATCCCAAGAAATATAAAAATAGAGATGTATATATGAAAACACTCTGACCAAACCCACGCACATCATGGACGCTCCAATGTGCTCATGAGTTTAAGAAAGTCCTGAGCAGTTCATTCACTCCCGGTATTACGCGCTCGCCAGAAATCCGCATGAAATCAAACTAAAGTAAGATACAAACATGGCGGAAAATAGTGAACGCGAAATGTTTTCTAGTCTTTTTGAAGTAAGCGGGATAGCGAATGAWCTACTGAAATAGACGACTTAAGCCGCGAAAAATCTCATGGCCAGAAAATCCGGACATACGAGCCCGCAATAGCAGCGGTACTTCGCATAAAGCACAAAAACATGTTTTGTTAAATTTTACAAAGAAATGTACGGATCAAAAAAAAACTATTTTATAATAACATTTGATCTGTTTTACCTGGAACGTTTTCCAAGATGAATTCCTAGAGGGAAACTATTCTTAATTCCACTGTAGAAAAGCCAAATAAACACGAAATTGTTAAGAGCGTCCTTTTTGACAATTTTTTTTCCTTTCGTCGTCTCCTTTGCCCTTGTATTTCATGGTGAAAATCCACGAAGAAGCGAAAATTCACCGTAGCTGATCGTATTTCCTTACATGTCATTGATTTTTCAAAGATCATTTCTCAAAGTCCACACATTGAGCTAGAAACACAGCGATTTTCAGTTATTTTGAAGACGATAAACAGCGTCCTTTTTGGTACTAGAAATCGTACAATTTGAAAACACTAACTTGACTGTGAAATGGCTTGCGACGACTCGTGTTTCACGCGAATAATTGGCCTTGATCTTCCATTTTCTTTCCATGTTATTAGCCATGTTTGGTACCAAAATAAACCTTAGAAACGTGGCTTTCAGACTGGGRCTGCTTTAATTTTGGYGGTTTTKAYTGGCGCCTTGCGCGCACTGGTAAATAGCGGGAAATATGAACGAAAGATAGACCAAATATCAAGTCTACGCTATTTAGTGAAAACAATGTCAGACCTTTTGAATTCCTTAGAATTGTACGAGTATAAACAAAAGATCACAATATCAACTGATGATCATTGTTTAAAATATCTGAGGCAAACGTATGTTCCAGCAAATAATATTATTTACACTATGAACATTCCAAACGAGCACCTCACAAGCCACTATGAACTCAAGGATCAGGGTGTGCTATCCCAATACTCGTTTGTCGATGTTTTGAACGTTTCGATTTTAACGCAGTATTTTATTAAGATAAAGGATCGTTGCACAAGAGTAGAAAATTTGATCTTCAAAAGTTCAAACCTCAAGGGAACTTGCAGAAAGCTCTATTTTGGTGGGAAAACCCGCTGACTCGTCCCGGGCTCAAATGTTCGGAATTTCTGGCCATGTAAAATAGATACGTCTCTGACACGACTTGATTTCATTGTTGTTTCAGTTCTCTTATTAAAGGCTCAAGTCACAAGGACATTGGTAACTCTGGAAACTACTTCCTGCGAATGTACTACAATAACTGGGTAGTTATAAAAAACTAAATCTTAAAAAGTCCTTTGTTTTCTTCTGCAAAAANTCACAAAGACATCCGTGTGGTAAGCGCATGCGCAGTAGTAAATTATTGAAAATGCGCAGTGATGGCATTTTCTAGAGCAAAGCATGATGGGAGCGCAGTTCTTGTATTCGATGCTTTAGACCACAACAAAAGACAACCTTTGATGGTTTCTTTGCAATAATGCAAGAGAGTAGTTCTGTTTGTGTTTCTAATCAGACAAGCATATGTTCTTTCTTTCCGTCCCCATGAACGTGATGATTTCTGTCTGTTATTTCTTCTTCACAGAATTGGATCGCCTACAACACACTACCAGCGGACATGATGGCTGAACAACGAGTTATAACTTTTCCTAACGACAACATGCCACTCTACAAAGACAACTTTGCATTTTGCCAGGTACGCAAAGCATGCTTGAAGGTAACGCAATCGTATTTTTGCGCAATTTTCTCTGGGTAACGTTACAGTAATGCTGCGCATTGCGCAGCAGTTACAGTGGCAGGTTGGACTCACCAGCTCGAGACATAGGATACTTTAAAAGATTTCCACTAGTAACGTACTGATGTACAATATTTTTCAGGTAATGACATTCACACTGGAAAAAATCGCGCTCCTCGAAGGTTGTAAATATAATGGAAAAAGTATGTAAATTTGATTTACACTATATTTACAAAGGTTGTAAATATCGTGTAACTGTCCAAAATGATGTAAATATCGTGTAAATTTGGATTTACGCGATATTTACATCGTTTGATTTTCATCATATTTCCATCATATTTCCATTAAATTTACAACGTTTGTAAAAACGATGTAAAAACGATGTAAATTTGATGTAAGTGATATTTACAACATTTTTACATCAAATTTACATCGTTTTGGGGGAATTCTAGAGCAACTCAATTAAAATCATTCTTATAAACAGCGAAACTTTTTGTTTCAGTTACTTTTTTATTTTAAATCATGTAAATATATGCAACAACTCGATAGCGAGGCTTTAAATTATCTCAAATTCAAGATGGCGACCGCAATGTCACGTCCGTTCGTCTGTATTAGCAGCGATTTTTACTCGAATGTCGTTAGAAAAAGTGGATTCTTAAATTGAATGAGAAAATTTCCAACCCAATGTGGAAAATGCCAACGAAAAGGTGAGTAATGTGCTTAGTTTTGTCTTGTAACCTTACATGCTTTACTTATTTTTGTTTCCTGCTGCTTTATAATTATCAGACAGTGGGATGTTTTAGCTTGAATAGTAGAAGAAGACCAACAAAAGTAAGTTGTGTCCACATATCAGATGACAAACCATTAGGTGAACTGGAATACAGAATGTGATTGAGCTATAATAGGCCAATTTGATATTAAGCCTAAGTATGTGGTCATATGATCATGAGTTAACCATAAAGTCTTATATCTGATAAAGAAACATAAGCTTACTAATAATAGAGTGCAAGTCACATAAGCATGAAACAATTCTTAACTATGTAGTGCTAAATAAGAATTAGTTATCAACTAACTAAGAATTGAGAACAATGCTACAAAGAAATTTAAATAATCAGTGGCATTGTGTTTATGCTTTGTTGAATTCTTAGTTAGTTGATAACTAAATCTTATTTAGCAATACATATTAAGAATTGTTTCATGCTTATGTGACGTGCACTCTACCATTATCAGATATTATAGCTGATACTATGATCCTAGCAGTCAATCAACAAACATTACTAAASTATAGTTTGTAAACTGATGAATGTCCATGTTCAGACTTAAACGTSTAGTACAAAAACAGTTTTAATTTATTTCTGGATCCTGGATGCAACTTTCACATTTTACAAACATACCATAGTACATTACTTCATGTGCATATGATGTGGGATGCCAAAATATAATGTGCTATGTATTTCTGATTGGTMCATGGTTAATTTTAAGATACCATTGCATATACATTATATGAATTTTTTTGTAGGTTTCTGTGTTGTGCTACTTTGATGTGCTAACAAGTCTAAACGGTGTGGAAAATGTTTTCTCAAGTCAAGTATGAAACACGGTCGGTAATTATTCACAATACAGCTTTTTATATTAGTTAAAGTCTTGTTGTAGCATTACATTTAATCATGTATCAGAACACATGCCCTAAACATGATATTTGATGGTATAGGATATATACTCGAGACCTTTACATGACTATTCCTTTCATATTTTTTTATCAGATTGAAATATTAAGGACCTTCATGTATTAGGGAAAGTACATTAATGTATTAAAAATATTTCTCATACTCATTAATTATTCGCGAGGTATCCAGCCAATCCCTGATTGTAATTTGTACTAAGTAGTAAAAGGAAAACCAGATACTCCTACCTTGTTTCCAGTTACTTCTACCTTTTTCTAACTACTACTAGCTAATAATAATAAAAGCATTGGATAGAATTTATTTAGTAGTGAAAAATGACATGACTGCCTCACGAATCGGCCAGTATATATGTACCGTCTTATAGTACAGAGTTTCTGATGTGATTCCTTGGAAGATGACATTCTTATAAATCTTATGAATTAGGCACATTACAATTGCCGTGAATAGCAGAGAAAGACAAAGACAATTTGTCATGAGTAGCTTTTGTTTCAGAACCATTCGGGAATTTGACTAGAAATCCCATGCAGTCCTCNATTCCAATCACACTAGCGACATCTTTTACCAAATTGTTGGTGTTCTCTCCGCGAGGCTGGATGCCTGTTAATTCAAGGCAATCACGTCCAAGGTACTGCTTTACTTTAACCCTTTCCCGACTGTCCCTTGAAATTTGGGTGGAATTCCAACGATGCGTCTAAAATCTATAAGTTACCGAAATACTAGTAGATAGTATCGATATCACAGTTCACAGAATTTTGCAACGAGAAAAAAAGGCACAAAACAGTACCCTGCTTAAAAATGAATGCCAAAATTTGCGTTTGGAGGACCGCAGGAAACACTGAATTCCATCTCAATTTCTAATAACGTCAAAATATGTTCTCGTAGCAAAACGTCCACTTCTTGCGCAAATTCCTTTGATAGAACGTCCTCATTTTGGCGTTTTTATTTTGTCAAAGTTACTGCAGACCTCTCAACAGCCCTCTTTTGAGCACCGGGTACAACAATCAGCTCTGCATGACCGAAATGCATCATGGGAGGATATAGATTTTGGGCGTAAATCTTGCAGCCGATTTAGCTTAGGAGGAGGCGAAGGGCTCCTGGGAGAAATATATCTGTTCTTATGTCCTTAGTCAGCAGCTGTAAGTCACAACTGGTTGTCAGCGAGAAATTCAGGGGGAAAAAAACTCTCCAGGCAAGGAACACTTTCTGCCTGGAAAATAAAAAAATCCCTTTCCCAGGAAAAAAATCATACAAGAACAGTCATTTAAAATAAGAGACCCTGTCCTCCTGAGCATTCTTGTTTCAAGATTTTTTTTAGAGTCACTGTGATCTCCCCCGCTCCTACAGCCAAAATATTGGGCCGATTGCATTCTTTGGATGTCAAATATTGCTAAAATTAAATTTCCTTGGTAGATTGGAAAATCTGCCACAGATGGACCAGGAAAGCGATCTTACAATGATGTCTCCAKCTCAAAGAAAACCGTGACTTGGAGCCATTGTCTTCGAAAAAGTCTTTCGACTTTCGGCTTTCCACCTCTGATTTCTTCTAGARAATTGTCGACCAGTCAAGTTTAATAATGCAAGGCTAGGGGCTCCTGTGGCAGCAAAAAGCTAAAAAAAAACACTTATAAACGTTTTTTATATAAATTTAGGCTCAATCGCTCGACAAACAAGCGATACAAGGCATTGTATATATTGACGCTAAGGAATTCAAATCAGCAATAGTTTACTTGACATCACCTTACCAAATATTCTATCATCTTCAGTAGGGTTGAAAATTCTCCAAATGAACTAATAAACACCCGTCGTTAAAAGAGTATTAAAGATAAAAGGAGATAAAAATAAAGATAAAATTAATAAAAATGGACACTAATTATATCTATATATAAATATGTAGTAAATGAACAAATTTTCTAAGCACTAGATTTTGATAGTTGAACGGTCAACGTCAATGTCTGGAAAGTTTTGAGTTCTTCTAATTGATCTTGAGCCTCTTTGACAAGAAATGCACATCTCAAAATGGAAAATGAGACTTTTCACCTTGATCCAGCTCAGTTTTACAGACTGCGCAATATTTATCAGATTATTGTATTTGACTTCCCAGGAGGCTACAACGGAGAACAAAAGAAAAAGGCTTTATTGATAGAAAAACCCCGAAAAATGGATTCTGTGTCAGAGCACAGAGATTACCAAGTTCTTCAACAGTCTTGTATAAATTGAGCAACCACATTGCTTTGGAATAATGTAAATTTAATAAGTGGATGAAATGTTAAAATAAAGATGACAAAACTATAACCATATCATTAACAATAGCCATAACCATAGCATTAACAGTAACAATAACACTTATAATAATAACACTAA